AAAGGGTAGATTTAGATTGGATATTAGGAAACAGTTCTTCAGTGTGAGGGTGGTAGATCACTGGCACAGGTTGCCCAGTGAGATGGTGGAGGCATCACCCCTGGAGATATTCAAGGTCAGGCTTGATGGGGCTCTGAGCAACCTGATCTGGTAACACTGCAGGGGTTGGACTGGGTGATCTTCAAAGGTCCCTTCCAACCCAACACATTCTGTGACTCTATGATTCTATAAGAGAAATGTAAATTGAAAATACATATATTTACAATGAAAATTCTTGATCAGGAACTTGCCTGGAAGGTTCAGTTTCTTCTTGGAGATAGCAGTAAACCTGCCATGCTTGCACAGTGATCAGACAGCCTATTGTTTTTTTCTGTTTGTACAGCATCTAACATAAATGTTTATCTTCACCTGCCTGGATAATGTCATGGCTTATTCACTAACACTCACCCTCTACTCTTCTTACCCGTCCAGATGAAGAACACACTACAGAGCATACTCCAAACCATCATGTGCCACAACCACCTCAAGCTGTGTTTCCAGCATGCATCTGTGCAGCAGTGCTCCCCATTGTCCATTTGATGGAAGATGGAGAGGTCCGGGAGGATGGAGTAGCTGGTACCAATCTACGTTAAACTTTACGTGATTCTTGCTCAAAGCTGGCAGATTCTGCCAGCACTTTGAACAATGGCTTACATTTGTTAGGTGCCATAACTTAAGTGGAAAAGAGGTGTAACACAACCTTGTATTTGCTCATGGTTCATATTTCCTAGAAGTAGTATGTGCTATGTATTGTTATGAGTATATATTCAAACTATTTGAAAGTATATTCACAACAGAAATGTGACTTTCTAGGGTTTTCCCCTTTTTTCCTCTATTAATTGTGTTTGGTTTTGAGGATTTTTTGCTCTTTTAGGGCCCTAAAAAAGGCCCCAGTTCAAGAAAGGTGTTGAGAAGCTGGAAGGGGTCTAGTGGGGGGGATATCAGGATAGTAAGAGGCCTAAAACAGCTGTTCTGTGAGAATAGATTGCAGAAGCAGGGCTTGTTTGGTGTGATGAAAAGGAAACCGAGTTAGAGGAACTCTGACTTAGAGGCTGCAACTTGGGAGGTTCAGGTTAGAAATGTGGATGAAACTCCATAACCAGGAGCATAGTGCAGTCTCCGTGGACTCCCCTTCCACAGTGGTTATCAAGCCTTGGCAGGTCAAAGCCATGGTTGACATAATTCGGTGTTGGTGACAGTCGTACTCCAAGTAGGGCTTGGACTAGAGACCTCCAGAGGCCACTTCCCACCATTGTTTCTTTGATCCTATGACAAACAGGAGGCCTGGTCTTGTTTCTGGTCTGTGACGTATTTGTAAAGTAATAACGCATTTTTTCTGTACTTGTTTCTCTAAAATATTTGAAGATGCTGGACTGTTACCCTTTCTTTCTCATCACTCATCATGTCAGCTGGCTGCATGTTTAACTTCCTGCTATTTTGTGTTCAGTTTTAGGTGGGTGTAGTCAGCCACCTAAATAATGCGTGTGTCATTTTGTGATTGGGGACCGAGTACTGAAAAACAGCAGTGAATAATTCTCTGATGTTGTCAGTCTTCACAGAATTGCAATTTATTACACTTTGGGGAGTTGATCATCCGCACAATTCCCTGCTGACGATCTGATACTGCTCACCAATACCAGATAAAATCACTCAATGAATCACCATGAAATTTAACTTCTGTGCATCAACAAAAAAGTGTATGCATTTCCGGTTTTTAATTGCCATATTTGTCCACCTGGAGTTGTGAATTCAAATAGTTATTTCTTTATAATTCCTCTGACCACAGTGGTAAAGTGCTTCCTGCCATATTACCAGTACCTAGGGAGGGTTCCAATATTAGGCCTATCATTATTGCATGAGATGACTGCATTGGTGATCAGGAATCCTAGTGCCTCATAGAGGCTGCTGTGTGTGTCCGTACAGATACGACAACTGTGGTAGCAATTAGAAACGTTGGTGTCAAAGTGCACCAGTTGAAGGCTTTTCCAAGAGATGGTTTTCACTTTGTTTTCTTACACTTTTACAGTAAGTGCTGTTGCTCAGCAAGTCCTGTGGAACTGCTTAATTGAAGACCCCTCCACAGTTTTGCGCCACTTCCTCGAGAAGCTCACAATCAGCAACCGACAGGTAAACTCTTCCTCTCCCCAGCGGGTGTGTGTACTGCTTAGAGCAGGAGAGCACAGCTGCAAGCAGAATCACCCTACGGGCATCACTGGAGAAGAACATTTTGCTATTATAATGTAGCTCAGTCTTTTAGGCCATATCATTGGCTGGCTGGTAATGTAAATGGGACACAGCTGATTTACCACCATTAAGGATCTGACTTGCTCTAAGCCAGGCTTTGAACGGCTGCTTATTAAAATACAACCCTTTCTATCTAACACAGGCAATATTGCCTCACCCATGCCACTCTTCAGCTTTCCCTGAAAGATGGGGGTAGCCTTGTCTCTTCCTGGCTTATGAGACTGTTTTCTAGAGCCATGGCTAAGCTTTGTGGAAGAAAGGCATACAAGTTCTGACTGGATAAAAGGCAGTGAGACTCTCCGTACCACTTTCTCAACTGCCACTCAGTGTACTGTCTTCATCTTCCAAGTCACCACCTAAGAACTGACTACAAAATTAATATTAAACCTCAAGAAAGATGAGGAAAGGCTGCTTTTTGGTTCCTTGAGGTCTCAGTGGCCTTGCTATTCCTGAGGCTTCTCAGTCATAGCCCCCAAAGCTTCCATTTAAGTTCAGAGGGTCACTTATGTTTATGTATCTTTGAGAAGGAAGCTATACACTGTTCAGCCTCAGCAGCCTCTGAGTTAGCATAGTCTGCTGTTTTACCATCTCTTCTTAAGTCTACTACAACCATCAGTACCCAACACAGAGAACAGCTGTATTTTCTTGGATGCTGTCAGCAGATGTATCGTTGGCATGGGTTGTCCTATGCACATTCATGCCCCTAACACTAGCTCAAATCTACTGTGGGTTAAGAGGATGAGGGCTGCAGAAGAAATTTATGATATGATCGGTCTGTCCTTAGCTGACAGTGAGATTCGTTCCCCTCTATGCCCCCTCCCCACCGTAAGAAATGTGTTAGTCTACATTTAAAGCAGGCAGCCTCTAAAGGAAGAAATGTTAGATTTTGTCCCCACCTCCTACCCAGCAGCCACAGCTGTTGAGTTGAGCTGAACTAGATTTCACATATCATCTAGGTAGTCATTTGTTGTGATAAGAAACACAGAGATCATCACAGAGAGGGGAGTGCAGAATCAGAATGCTACAGTCAGCAAAAATTGCGATAGGAGGTATCGGCCTTTCTCAGATGAAAAAGAAAGACATTGACCTGGGTGCTGTGCCTTGGACCTTATTTTGGGTAATATGGGAGTAGTCACAAGCATATAGTTCTATTTCATGCACCAAGAGACAGAGCTGGAAAAGAGAGTGTGGAAAAATGGGAAGATACAAAGCCAGGGAGGACAAAAAGGAGAAATCCATTCTCCATTTTGTGAGGGAAAGAAAAACCATTTGCTCTTCTTCCAGGATGAGCTGATGTATATGTTAAGGAAGCTCTTGTTGAACATCGGAGACTTCCCTGCACAGACATCTCATATCCTCTTTAACTACTTGGTGAGTAGCTTATGGGTCCACTGTGCAGCCCAGAATCGCACCTCTGCCTGTATATGCCCTAAGAAGTTAGTGTCACAAACTGCAAGAAAATAAATGCTCTTAACTTGGCAAGAGCCGGGTCGACTGCCTGCAGCCCGTAGAGTTCACTGGTGGGGCAGGGCCACATGAGCTGCCCCTGAAGAAGCCGTGGCTCCGGGCAGTGCGTGCTGGAGCAGTTTGTGTGTGAGGGAACTGTGACTGTGGGCAGACCCAGACTGGAGCTCTGTGGACTTGGGCTGAAGCAGTTTGGTGTGTGAGGGAAACTGCAGCTGTGGGCAGACCCACATTGGACTTCTGAGGATTTTTTCTGCTGTGGAAAGGGCACCACGTGGAAGCAGAGAGAGACTGGGAGGAGTCCTCCCTACTCCTGAAGGACCACTTGGCACGAACCGACTGCAACCCCCACTCCCATCCCCCTGCTCCTCAAGGCACAGGGTAGGGGAGGTGAAGAAACCGGGAACAAAGCTGAGCCCGGGAAGAAGGGAGGGGTGGGGGGAAGGTGTTTTGACTTTAGGATCTGGTTGTGTCTCCCATTGTTCTACTCTGATGTTGGTAACAAATTAAAATTGTTCTGGTTTTTATTCCTTATGATGAATCTGTCTTTTGCCTGTGACCTTTTTAAGTGGTGAGAAGCCCTCCCAGTCCTTATTTTGACTAGCCCCTTCTTTCAGCATCATGGTGCTCAGTTACACACTGGGCCTAAACCATGACACCTCTCTAGAAAAAAGGTGTAACAGTACAGTGGGATTGTTCTGGAGTATGTACAGACTTTCAGGATGCAAATTTAGTGAGTTTATCCCTCTGAGTGAAGAAAAGTAGTAGAACAGTATTCTTGTTCTGTGTTTGTACTATGCTCTGCACAGTTAAGAGTGTGTCTAACCTGGTATTCCTCTTACTTATGCCCTGCAGGTAGGATTGATCATGTATTTTGTGCGCACCCCGTGCGAATGGGGCATGGATGCCATTTCTGCAACACTTACCTTCCTTTGGGAAGTGGTGGGTTATGTAGAAGGGCTGTTCTTCAAGGATCTCAAACAGACTATGAAGAAGGAACAATGTGAAGTGAAGCTGCTGGTGACTGCCTCGATGCCAGGTATAAGAAATGAGTCTTTAAATCTCTGTATTTCTAGGTTCATGACCTCCTCTACCAAAAAGGAGATCCATCAGAACTGGATCAGAAAAATACCTGCTACAAATGGCTTCATATTCTAAGCCAGTTTTCCTTGAGTTGAGAATTCGGTCGGTAAATTCCACCTCTAATTCCCTGAGATTCAGAAAGCCACTTTAAGAGCTCTAAAAGGAGCAAACAGAAAGTGAATTAGAACAGACTTTTCAACCCAGAGCTTTGTGCCAGTTGGGCTGTGGAAGGCTGGCAGGATGATCGCTGTAAGATTGTACCATTCAGACTCACTTTGATGAAACCTCGCATGTAAGTCCCGAGAGAGCCCAGGAAGAGCTTGCTGTGAGCCTAGGATGTCACGAGTCAGGCAAGAGATATCTTGCTGAAAAACAGATTTGACCTTTTAGGTTTGTTCCTTCCTCAGAGGGACGGTTGCTGCTGAGGCCAGCACAGTCCTTTAGGAATAGGTTGATTCCTCATTAACTGTAGACGTGTGAGACCATGCTAACACTTCATAACGGATTCCTTACAGGACTGGCATTGACTGTCTGCCCAGGAATGAATTTTAACTATCACTTTTCCTCCACGGGCAGTCTTTGGAAATCGAGTTAATTAAAGAGGCCAGGAACAATGCAACTGGTTTTCTTCCTTTAGGCACAAAGACCCTTGTCGTGCACGGACAGAATGAGTGTGACATCCCAACTCAGTTACCAGTCCATGAGGACACACAGTTTGAGGCTCTGCTGAAGGTAGGAATGAGTTTTTTGACTGGACAAACTGCTTAATAGTACATTTACCTGCCATTCCTGTACGCCAGCACTACATGCTGCCTGAGCATCCTGTCTCAGTGTGGGAGAGAGAAGCTTTGCTGTAACAACAATTTCTGTCTCTATATGAGGAGAGCTTGGCTGCAAGAAATAGGATCTCATATTAAAGACTACATAAATGCCCTGCTCTCACAGACAGACAAAACCCCACAAATGCAACTACATTTCAAGACACTGCGGTTTGTTGGGTATTTGTTGTATATTATCCTTTGGATATTTACATCTTGGGATCTGGGAGATGTGAGGCCAGTTTCCCCTACTGCTAAAGATTTCCTGGATGGCCTTAACTGCGTCACATAGGAAAGAGGTTTGTAAAAGCCTTCAGTTTACCCAACTATATTAAATTTTAATGGGAATCACACATCTCAGTGCTTTGAAGGATCTGAACTTTAGTGTCTCTACATCACCTATCGCTAAAGACAGTATTGATAAATACGTAGAATGGAAGTCGAAGCTGCAATATCCATGTGGCTCATACAGCCAGAAAAATATATGTGATATGAAAACATCGCAGTAATAATATCAGTCTTTAGGACTGTGATATCAGTATGCCTTGATTATCACAGCCATATTCATTTACTTTATGTTTAAAAAAAAGAAATTAAGAATTAATGCCACAAGAGTGCATCAGCCTAAGGCATGCAGGTTTGTGCCTTTTTACATTATTAGCTGGATATTCTTCTTTTGTGGTCTTGTTTTGTGGATGCTGTGGTCTTGGTACAAGACAGCTAATAAGTAACGGGATGTTTTTCTTTCTTCCTCTTCAGGAGTGTTTGGAGTTCTTTAACATACCTGAAACGCAGTCTTCTCATTACTTTTTAATGGATAAGCGATGGAATCTTATTCATTACAACAAGGTAAGGGAACAGTTAGGTCCAGATGACTTTGTTCATTCTGTCTTGTCCCTTTTTCAAACACTGAGGTTAGCTAAAGGAGAACAAGCAGCCCATAAAGAGCCAGAACTCTGTCCTGTAGGTATCACATCTTGGGTGTTTAGTTGTGTGTGGTGAAAGATTGGAGTTTGACAGAAAAGGGGAAGAAATGGATGTGGAGTCCCTTGCTCTTAAGTCATTAATGTCCAGCTTTCTTAGAAAAGAGCAAATTTCTCTTCTGTTTATGCTCTTCCATGATGCCTGACATTGTCTGAAAGCCCCTATGCAAAATGTTCAGAAATGGCTAAAGGGTCTTTTCCTCCGTTCTACTGAGTGATGTTGTTACAACTACATTTGTTTAAAATACACTTGTTTCCTTTCCTGGCAGACCTACGTCCGGGACATTTATCCTTTCCGGAGGTCAGTTTCTCCCCAGCTCAACCTGGTGCAGATGCATCCAGAAAAAGGTCAAGAGCTCATTCAGAAGCAGGTATCTTACTGTTAACAAACACCTCTGCCCAGAAACAAACCCTGTAAATAAACCTCTTTTCTTACTTTAAAGGCCTTCACTCATGCTGAATGCTGATAGAGAGCTTTATGTTCTCCCACACTTGGCCAGAAGAGCTTCAGTTGCCTCAGCTTCAAAAGTTGCTTACTCCTTTCTTTAACATGGCTCTTTAGGAACCTATTTAAGAGCTTTTCTTCTCAGGTCTGTCTAGCTGTGGAGCAGGAGTTATCTGTTCTACCTTCCTCTCTGTCCTCTCACTGTAAAGAATGTTACTTGCCTCTCTTCCTTGTCCTGCTCTCAGATGCTGGTCTCATCATAGCTCCTCCTAGAGACACAGCAGCAGAGAGAGATTGTTTCATCAGGCAAATATCTGTCCTCAGAAGAGCACTGCACTGATAATCTGTCTGATCCTGCTAATGTTCTTCAGCTCCCAGGAGCTCTCTCTTAGGAACTAAACCCTAACTAAAGTGGCAGGGCAATGCCTTTTAATGCAAACGACTACAAGTATCATTTCTTTAGACAGCGATATTGAGCTCACTCTACCTGTAGAAGCCACATGTTCTGTTTTCCACAGAAGGACATTTGTCTCAGTAGCACAGGGTTGAGTGTTTAGGGAAAGGTTGCTCTAGCTGTATCTGCAAAGGATGATAATAAGCAGGAAATAAAGAGGGGGAGCGTGGTTAAACTGTATGAGTTTGGTATGAACAGTTGAAGTATTCTAGCCAAAAAGCAGCTACTGTAGTTGTGCACCTGGCAATTTGAGCACAGGGACAGGAAAGTCTCATCAAGAATGGTTGTAAAAAGCATCTACAAAGCTGCTTAAGAGGCACCAGCAGCTAAAATAATAGAGAATATAGTTAATCCTCTCTGAAATGTGTATGGTACAGAGCAAGGAAATACTTCGTTTCTGTGATTCATATGCTGCATCTGTCAGTAGAAAGTCTACACAAATCTGGAATTACTTGGGACCATGTTGGTTGCTTCCCTGGCAGAAATTATTCTCACTGTGGTTCCACAAGATGTGTCCCACATGTCAAATAAATGAGTCTGATATGCTCTACGTAACCCCAAAAGATTAAAATGGCCTGTCTAGTTTTGTCAGGGCATTATTTTACACTCCACCTTTTTCCATTTAGAGTACTTAGAGACCAAAATATTTCTAAGGTAAAACTGAAATCAAGCATCTACCAGCTTCTCGGTAGTCATCCTAGAAGTTGCTGGACAACATCCATCTTCAGCAAAGACAACAGCACTGTAGAGTGCACCCACAGAGTAGCAAGCCATGAAAGAGTACTTTCCTTGCTGTTGATCCACTGGGCACCCAGTTCTAAGCTGAGTGCACTCCAGAGCAAAGTCATAGCAACTGCAGGACACGGGAAGCTGAACTTTGTCACACGTTAAGCCACATGCTTCAGGTTTTGGCTTCATCCCAGTAGCTAAGAGCTGTCTCTAAACTGCTTCCAAAGACAGCTGCTTCTACTACTGAGCATATGGTTACTTTTAGCATTAAAATAACATAGCTAGCCTGACTAGTCCTACCAGTAGAAGTTCAAAGGAGGCTGGTAGAATGAAACTCGTTTCCCAGTTGGTGTGAACCAGAATCGATAATCTGAAGTCAGCAGGATTTAGCTTGTTTACAGAATCTGGTCTGCTTTGTTTTATTGACGGCTTTTCTTTTGCAACTATGCTTACACTTTCTGTGACCTGACATGAGCCAGCCTCAACCCAGAAGGTAACCATTCCAACCTCATATTGACTATAGTGTAAGACCTTGCAGAGAGCAGCTGCAACTGTATGGAGCTGGTTTGCCTCTGGCCACCTTGCGATTCACACTGACAAAGCTTACATTAATCTACAAGAGACTGCATGACAGAGTTGCAATGTGTTTGACAACCACCCACAGTCCTCCACAAGACTGAAATAGTAAGTGCTGTTAAAACCTCTCTTACAAACACAGTCCATCTTTGCTGAGCTGCACTAAAGAACAGTGGTCACACAAAATCTAGCAAGAGGGCGCAGCATTAGCCTTATGAATTTCAACAGGTTCATCTGGGCCATGAGTGCAGCATCTCCTCCCTTCAGGGACAGCCATAGAAGCTAACCTAGAAAAGTACATATATGTCGTAAAGAACTTTCTGAATTGTTGACCAGGCTGATTCTGTCCCTTGTCTTTTTTTATTTCAGGTGTTCACTCGCAAGCTAGAAGAGGTGGGGCGGGTGTTGTTCCTCATATCGCTGACACAGAAGATCCCTACTGCCCACAAGCAGTCCCATGTATCTATGCTCCAGGAAGACCTTCTCCGCTTGCCTTCATTTCCCCGAAGTGCCATTGATGCTGAGTTCTCACTCTTCAGTGATCCCCAAGGTATGGCCTTTTGACAGCTTTCCCGAGTGGTTGTACAGGGCCCAGAAGGTTTTTGTGAGGCACTTTGTTTGCTTTGGAAACACACAGGCTTTGTTTGCCTTAGAAACGTACAGACCTGTAGCACTACTGAAAGCTGTTAAATCTCTTCTCAGGGAAAATGATGCATAGCTGTTGGTTTGTAAGCACGACATTCTCATTTGCACCCAAATGAGAATAATTATGCATGGAACTACAGCTGAAATACTGTGTCCATTAGCATAACTGCTTCTAAAATGGATTGTTCAGAGTCCTTTGCCATACACTTTGAGGAAGCAATGGACTTCAATGAAGATTGGGCAAATTCTGCAGCAGGGATATAGAAACAGCCCTCTTTTTGGAAAATTTGCTCTGAAAGTTCCGTAGGGTTTCTAGCCTGACTTGTGGATTAAACAGGCTGCTGTTGCAGGATGGAAAGCACTGGCAAGTTCTGTAACAGGCCATAAAGGCACTCGCTTTAAGAAACATTATTGTAACTCTGTGTGAATATCCTGTAATGTGTGGGACACCTGAAGAATGAAAGAATGAAAGTTCAGCATAAACACACACAGCCATTCCAACTAGTGGGGAGAAAATGTAATGAGCTGTGTGGTATTCATCATTCTTCATCTTCATGCGTGCTGCTTCCAGTCAAGGTTTGCTCGAGCCCTGTGGACACTTCCAGAAGTAAAGTGAAATAATTTTAAAAAGGCAAAACGATGCTCAGTATTGTGAGGTGGCCCCTTGCCCTCTGGGAATATTATGAGGCTGGCTGTGGTGGACAGAGTTGATTGTTGTTGCCTCTTCTCCCTCACAGCTGGGAAAGAGCTCTTTGGTCTGGACACACTTCAGAAAAGCTTGTGGATTAAGCTGCTGGAGGAGATGTTCCTTGGCATGCCCAGCGAGTTCCCCTGGGGAGATGAGATCATGCTGTTCTTGAACGTCTTCAACGGTGCCCTGATCCTGCACCCTGAGGACAGTGCCTTGTTAAGGCAGTACGCTGCCACAGTCATCAACACTGCTGTGCACTTTAACCACCTCTTCTCCCTCAGCGGGTACCAGTGGGTCCTGCCCAGCATGTTGCAGGTGAGCCATTTCCATGAACATTACAAGGGAAGGCTTCAGATCAAGCAGTCTGCTATAGAACAGACTATTAATGGGGGAACTTTAAATTGCTGAGTCCTGGCGAGGTCACAGATTTGGGGAGTCCCAGGAAGACAACAGATCAGGGTGGGAAGGCCCAAATCAGCATTCTTCAGACTACGTTCCTTTTCTTGAGTAAATAACCACATTTTCTTTCCTTCTTTATGTTAAATAAATGAATGTCTGTTTCCCTTAGTAGGTGTTTCCACGCAGAAATGTGAAATTGCTGTAAAGTTTTTGGATCTTGGGTCTCCCTCAGGGATGGCTGAAATCTGGGGAATAGCTGAAATATCTGGATTTGCTACTTGCTGACTGAAACTAAATTATGTTCACTTTTTAAGTATGATAATCACAATAATATAAAAATACCGACATAAAATAACACTAAGTGTTTATGAAAAACTGTATGTTGTCTTTTCATGTGGGCGATGAAAAATATTGCAAGTATTAGAGGTGAAGTTTCCCTTCACTTCGAGGTGGATAAGTATTCCTTTTTTTTCCTGTTGTCACATTTGGGAAAAATCATCCTGAAAATAAAGAAAATCAACCAGTATCGTTCCTTTACAGACAGGTTATCTTTGCAGAGCTCAGAGACAGTATCTGAATAGAGATTTAGTATTACAATGCAAATACAGAAGAAAACCTATTGCTTCTGTAACAGAAGCAATGACCATGACATCCCTGTGTATATTCATTTCAACATTAACAGAGCACAATAATTAGGACCAGTGATTAATTTAGCTATCTAAACAAACATTTTCGTAACTGGAAACTCTAATATCATGCCTTACACAGTTAGGTAAGCGTGTATTGGGTCCAGGTCTGCAGTGTATGGGTTCATTAGAAACAAAACCTTTTGAAATAAAATCACTTAATAACTTCATTTGAAGTACGTGGCAGTAACCATTCAGTCCTGTGAAGGACTCTACCTTAATTTTCACTTTTCATACTGAGAGAAATTAGTTTTTTAATTCTTTCCTCCTCCCCTCGCCTTACGACTCTTTACCAACTGGTTTCAAACAAGTCAAGTGCTTCTAGGAAAGAGAGGGGAGAAATCTACCTGTGATACTTAGGACAAAAAGCAATAGACTAAAGCTGTGACAATGAAGATTCAAGAGTGACAAGCAAACCTTTTATCTAAGGATAGTTTGTCCTTGAAATGCACGGCCAAGGAGGGCAGACAAGTCTCCATCTTTAAAAATATCAGGCAAACATCAGGAATGACAAGGCTGTAGTTGGTTGTCTGGGATTAGGAGGTGAAGAGCCCTTTCACTGGAGTAGTACTTCCGTGTCCTTTTACATTTGCTCAGGTATACGCTGACTATGAGAGCAACCCGCAGTTACGCCAAGCGATTGAGTTTGCCTGCCGCCAGTTCTACGTTCTGCACCGCAAGCCCTTTATTCTGCAGCTGTTTGCAAGTGTGGCTCCTCTCCTGGAGTTCCCTGTGAGTAAAAGCTGTTCCCTAGTCTCAGCGTGGGGAAGCCTGTGTATGCAGCCAGCCCTCCATCAGAGATCACTCAGAGAACACAGCTGGAGCAGCAGCACAGTTCTTATAAACTTGTGCTTACTACACTTGGTGCTGCACAGAACCAGTTCATGAACTTATTTCTGCATGCTTCTGTTCATCCTGAGATGTGTTCTGTTCAGGATCCTCAGATAACAGGCCACTGGTATACAGGCTAGTAAATGTGGTTTCACTTTAAATGTCTGTGTATAGATAGATTCTAAAAGAACAATAATTCTGAAAGTATAAATAGATTCTAAAAGTACAATAATGATTTGTAACTCTCTTAGAATCCAGCAATAGGAACTAAAAGCTTAATGCTAAGTTTTAGTACCTGTGAACTGTAAGACTGGATTAGCCATGTTTTGAAATACTAATTGCTTTTTAACATTTAGTCAGTTAAAACAAGTTAATGGAATTTTTATTTGAAATGGGATTGTCAAATCTACCTGCACGTACACTGTAAGCACACACAGCTTTCTCCTTCACAGGGCAGCAGGGATCTGCTGTTCCTGGGAAGCAAAGCTGTGTGCAGTTTTCAGATCATGCTCTCACTGTAAACTCAATCTGTTGGGTCAGGCAAGGCTTATTGTTTGATAGCAGTAAGCTTTTGGACTCTCATTTGTCAAAAACAAGGGTTGCCCACACCTCCAGATAAAGAATACGCACGGGCCCTCAGAAAATCAACCGCGCCTGTCTGTTGTTGAAACAGGATGCCACAAGCAATGGAACCAGCAAAGGAGTGTCAGCTCAGTGCCTGTTTGACCTGCTGCAGTCTTTAGAGGGAGATACTCCAGACATTTTGGACATCTTAGAGCTGGTGAAAGCAGAAAAGCCTCTCAAGTCGTTAGGTAACAGCAAAGCACCCTTTATTCAGTAATTCTGGTTTGTTGTTCATTGATTCAACATGCATTTTGATGCAGTGTGATTTGTTCAGGGCCCTTTTCTTCTCCCAGAATGTGGTTATATCTGTTTCTGATGCCTCATGGGGCTTTTAAGGCTGGCCTTATCACCACCATCCTTTTGATATTTTCTGCAGGACGGGAATTATTAATTTCTCTTATTTGAAAGCTATTTTTTCTGCATTGAGCCTCATAGTCTGAGACTAGCCCCTGGCATTTTGAATTTTATAATGCGTGGGTGAAGAATAAACATGCCTAATAAACTGTATCATGCTGACAAGATCAGTGTCATCCTCTCCTCTGCTCCATGTGAGCAGGAGGCAGAAGCATCCTCTCCCGTGGGCAGGCTATGACTACTCAATGATGGATGCCATTCAGACTTCCAACAGTGCTCGGTTCTAGGGTGGGGGTTGATTTATCACAAAGCACAATATATATGACAGTATGATCTGTCCAGGACACTGTGTCTCTTTATGGTTACCCATGCTATTCAGAATTTAAGAATTTGGCTGCTTTGTGATTTGCTGGGAAGTAATTTTCACTGATCTTTATAATTTTCCAAATTTGCACTTCCCTTAAATAAAACTGATTTTGATGGGATGAGAAGCCTGTCTAGCCTTAGAGTCAAAGCTTTGTTATATACTGGGGTTTTATCATGCTGCACCATTATATCACAAGTTATGATGTAAAAATGGTACAGAAACAGAAAATGTTTTTTTCTCTTTGTGGATTGTAGTAAGATTTGTATAAAAGCTTTGGGTTTTCTGTGAAGGGTTATTCAAAGGTGTCTCTGAAGACTTCCAAGTGTGTGTTAACAGTGAGACTGCAGATGAGTATATCGTGTGCCTGATATTTTCCATGTGAAGATCAGAATTATCTCAAACATCTGACTTCCAAGTTCCATTTTTCAAAGTGGTGCTTTGGGACCTTAACTTTAACATGGGCTCCTGTACACCAAAGTCACTACTGGAAACAAGACTATAGTTCTATTACCAATATTATTCTTTTGATACTTCAGTTTCTGGTGTCTGGCACTAACTATCCCCGAGGTAATACTTGTGTGGGACTTCAATGCTTTTGAAAAATTTTTCTCAAATCACTGCAAACCAGACTCACTTTTGTCCTGGTGCCCATGTGGCTATGAGTATGGTAGGGTCTTGATTTTTTCAGAACTTGCAGTGGTGTATCAGTATCATTTTTAGTGTGGTGGAAACATCCAGGAAAAAGCAGAGCATAAAAACTGTGATTAAGTTGACACATGTCCTTGTCATGTATAAGCTTAAGAATTCACTTGTGATGGATGATGTTTGGAGCAGGACTCCAGCAGCAGCTGCAGGCCTTATGCTCAGCAGTGATTTGACCTCCTGTGAACTGTTTCTCACCTTCTGGGCTCTTGGATTGCAGGGTGCAAGTGGGAGTGCAGCATATGTCTCCTTTTTATAGACAGATTTTTGTCAGAAATCAAGAGCCTCTTGGGCATTGTTAACATGAGAAGCGAGCAACTGAGTAAAGGGAAGGAGGAAGGAGTGTGCTAGCTCCTTTCATATTCAGTATGTTCGTGTGATAGTCTTCTTGTATTGCTTTATTCCTTCAGACTTCTGCTATGGGAATGAAGACTTGACCTTTTCGATCAGTGAAGCCATCAAGCTGTGTGTGACAGTGGTGGCCTACGCTCCTGAATCATTCAGAAGGTGCTAATCTATTTACTTGGTTTGTGCAGGCTCAGATAAGGCATAAAAGCTGCATAAGGCATGCAAAAGCAAGGCAAACAAACGGAGGGAGATGATATAGAAATGCATTCCAAGCATGGGGCTTCTGTGAGGCCTCTGCCTGTTGGTTCCTTTCCTAAGGCACTGGCTCCAAATCCTGCCAGCTGCCGGCTGAAGCACTAAGCTGGACGGCAGTCTAAGCAGCAGCACGGAAGGTGGGGATCACGTTGTGTCCTGCAGGTTTCTGTTGTCAGAGACGATGAAGAGGGAACTGGAGTAGAAGAAACAGGCAGCTGGAAAGAACAGGAAGATACAGAGAGGTGGAAGTAAACTGGTAAAGCCAGAATGTTAGTTTCCCAGAGGGAACCAGAGAAGAAAGGAGTCTTTGGAAAGGAAAATGAATGTCTGCAAATGGGTGACATTCAGAAGATACCCAGAAGTCTGGGTTGTTTTGGTTGTTATTGTTTCATGCATCAGCTAATTTTCTCCCTCATGCCCCTGACCCAAGAGTTTCTCTGGCCCAGGACTGCTTACCTAGTGAGAAGCAATGAAATCACAAGGCCACTGAGAGAACCATGAGCCTTCGGATTGAAACATAAGCCTCCAGGTGATGTAAGTGTCAGGACTGACAAAATGAAACAGACCAATTGTTGGTTATTTTTCCAGCCTCCAGATGCTGATGGTCCTGGAAGCACTGGTTCCCTGTTACTTGCAGAAACTGAAGCGACAGACCTCTCAAGCGGAAACTGTGACAGCAGCTCGTGAGGAGATTGCTGCTATGGCTGCCCTTGCCACCTCTTTGCAGGCCCTCTTGTACAGTGTAGAAGTTCTCACCAGGTAACCCCCATGGTTCAAAGGTCTGAGCCTGCATTTGGTTATCAGTTTGAGGAGAGGGAATGCACAGGAGGTCACGATATTCAACTTAGCTTGAATAACAAGTTTTAGTCATGGTAAAATTAGTACCAAATTTCACCATAACCACAAGCAGAATGTTAGTGCATGTCTTAGATTTATTCTTTTGCATGCTCTTGACCTTCCCTTTGCCAGGCCTATGACAGCCCCACAGATGAGTCGCTGTGACCAAGGCCACAAAGGGACCACAACAGCAAACCACACCATGTCAGCAGGTGTGAACACCAGGTAAGTCAGTGGACTTTTCTGTCTTTCTTTCTCTCTCTCTCTTCTTTCTTATTTTCTCTCTTTCTTACAGCCAATAGTCTAGTACTAGTCTAGTCTAGTCTAGTACCATGGGCTATATAGGACTGTAAATCAGGAGCACCCTTCTGGCAAGACATGTTTTCCAAATTATTCCCTATCTTCTTTAGTATTGATGTGAGAGAGAAATCACTCTCTCTATGGATCATCAAAGGGCTATTATGTCAATTTGTAGATGCGTAGTGCACTCATCTGATTGGTAACTCCTGGAATCAGACGGTTATTCTTTAGGACCGATTCAGGCATGGATGAAATACAGCTCTGACTTGCAATACTGGATCCAAGAAGCATATAAACCCTTCATGGTCAACTCTGAAGTGGATATATGTGATTTACTTCCACTGCAAGATTGCCCAGTCTAAGGAAAAGACAGTGTAACGGAAAGTAGTGCTTTATTATTTGTCTGCTGATTTTGGAGAGCGGTTCATATGTATCTGCTGACAGACAATGTAGCGACTCCTGATGCTGTGTGACTTGAACATCTTGGTTTGCTTTTCCAGATCTTTCTGATTATCAAACATTCAGTCTCTGATCCAAAATAATTTTGCACTGCTCCAGGTTTCCTGCTCTTGCTTCTTCTGTTGTGTTATCATTGCAACAGACATCTGCTAGCAACAGCAGGAGGCTCATGATGGTAGAATGATCACGGTTGCAGCCTTGGATGTGTTAGCTAAAGCGGTGCAGGGTTTGTTAATGCTTTCTCAACAAGAAGTGGCAACAGAAAAATTGCAACAACAGCACAAAAAACCAGTCTGAGGTATTCTTTCTACTAGGTGAGCTCTGGCTTCATGAAACAATACAAGTGCTAGGGTGAAAATCAGTAAGAGAAATTGCATGAAAGATGGCTGTGGTTTTTAAGCCTGAATTTTTCCTTTCATAGCAAGGGCAGTAACGATAGGAATCTATTGCTTGCTGCCAGCTGGGAGGTAAAGGCTATTCAATGTGGTCACTGTGTGTAGCCATTGCTCCAGCGATACAAGATACCAACCTGCACATGGCGAGTACACCCCCGAGCTAGAACAGTATCACCTTCTCTCAGAAAGACACACAAAGTCATCACTAAGTTGCTGTTTACAACTGCGTTATTTCTGCTTCCCCAGGTACCCAGAACAGGGAGCCAAATTGCACTTTATCAGGTACAGTAAAATCTTCACCCAGTCTTCCCTGGTGTGTGATGAACGGTTCCCCACAGATTTCAAGGTTCGCTGGGTCCCACCCGCTGTTGCTGAGAGGCAGCCTGTTTTCAGGGGAGGGTAGCAAAGGATAGTTCACATAGAAATTATTCATATTTTTAACATGACCTTGCAGATTATACTTTCCTTTTTTTTTTAAATGATTGCAGATGCAACTATTATTTTTTCCATTGCAGAGGAAAGCATCTGTTGCAAAAACAAGTTGGAAAGGTTGTTATAATCTATCCCCGCTGTTCCACTGCATGTAACACTTCCTACTTTTTCTCACTTTATATCCCCCAGGGAGAACCTTCATTTACTGGAGGAGGGCCAGGGTCTTCCCCGAGAGGAGCTGGATGAACGAATTGCTAGAGAGGAGTTCAGGAGACCACGGGAGTCACTGCTGAATATCTGCACAGAGTTTTACAAGCACTGTGGTCCAAGGCTGAAGATTTTGCAGAACCTGGCTGGTGAGCCCCGAGTGACTTCTCTGGAGCTACTGGATGTGAAGTCTCACATGAGGTATTGCACAGGCGTTCTGCTTTCACTTGTTCATTTCAAGGGGATTTATTTCTTTTAGCTCTTAATTATTCATAGGAGCCGACGGAATCACCTTTTGGTAGTGCAGTTGCATGTTGCTGTCTGAAACATGCAGAGCTTGGTTTGGATGTTCCTTAGATCGTATCTGATGATGCTTGTGTATAAGGAAGGTTTCATATGCTCTCTTCTGGTCTCATCCAGACCCTCATCTCGAGTGAATGAAAACGCTCTCTGGAAGCCCACCTGATACATCAGAATAAGCTACAGTGAGGAGCAGAGCCTGTAACGCTCCCTCTGCAGAGCAAGGGGTGGGGAAGCCACCTAGCTGGCAGAATATGACCTCTGCCATCTCCTGTGACACTGTGCATCAGAACCAGCTACAAACAAGCAAGAGCAGCAGTGCAGCAACCGCACTGTATTGTGTAAATGCCTGAAATACGGGGGAGGATGGGACAGGAGGCATTTGCAGGGCCACCACCTCAGCGTGGGATTGTGCTTTAACCTACACTACAAAGTCTAATGATGTTTCGGGGAGTATACTGGTTTCTATCCCTTTTATTAGCAGACGTATCTTTATTACTTGTCTTTGTCTACCACAAACACTCAAGTATTTCAGTAGGTCTTTGTCAAACTGCAAGTGTAAGTTAAATATTGCCATGGTATTTCACAGTCAATACAGAAAATGACATCGGTGAGGCCATCTGGGAGGGCGAGAAGAAGCAACAGCAACACAGTCTGTAGAGGTGTTAGGAGAAACAAATCAAAGCTGCAGGGATTAAGCATACAAAGTGTATGCTGTGTAAACCTACGGGATGGCACATTATTTTAAAAATCTAACACCTGAAATTTTCATAGTGAGACCTCTTAAAGTGGTGATGCTGAAAAACAAGCACAAAACCAAACCAAACCACTCATTAATTGACAGACAGGTGATGTCAGGTCTGTGTTTCACAGGCATGTGCAATGTTGTGATCTCACTAATAGCTCAGGCACTTTGTTTTTAGCTACACAAATCCATGATTCTTGATGTTCCTTTGGGGTATTTAATATTGATGTAAAAATATTCCTTAAACCATTCAGATGTACATGAATACAAACAGTGATTCCAGGAAAGGGATCTTAACAGACCAGGAATTGTGGTGTCTGGTCTAAGAGTCTAAAACAGCACATTTGACTTTTGCATCTTTTTCTTTTTACTAGACTACTGAAGCTTTATCTGTTAGTCCATTGGTATGTATGGAGAAATGCAAGTTGGGTTTGATTTTTCTCTTGACAAACCCTGGTTTTAGGTTGGCAGAAATCGCCCATTCCCTGCTGAAACTGGCACCTTACGACACGCAGACAATGGAAAGCCGAGGTCTCCGGCGCTACATCATGGAGATGCTGCCCATCACTGACTGGACAGCTGAGGCGGTGAGACCTGCCCTTATCCTCATCTTAAAGAGACTGGATCGTATGTTCAATAAAATTCACAAGATGCCTACGCTGAGGTAAGCAGGTAGAACGGAAAACCTCTGGGGTCCGTTTCTGATGTTGCAAGCCTTGAAGTGTGGGTATGTCACTTAACTGAGACTGTCGTGTTGCAGTGAACCTTTACAACGTATCAGAAAATGAATCGATGTTTCTGTCTCTGTAAGTGTGCATTTATGTTGGCACTTTTTGTTGTCTTCTAGTAGCAAGAGAAGAAATGCATGGCTATTAAGAACTACAGAGACAACTTCCAGAAATCTGATTTTTCTCTCTCCAAAATAAGTCTTCAGATTTGTACCATGTCACTACCCTCTTTATTGATTTTAGCTATGGGTTGAGGAGATTAATTTTATTTTTTAATGGCAAGTTAAACTGCAGTATTTCTAGCATGCCTCCTCATGAAAATACTGTTATGTTCTCTGTAAGGATAAAACCAGTCTGAAGCTGTGCCGTAGCTTCTGAATGCTCCTTAGTAAAGGGAGCAGAACTGCATCAATTGCATCTAGCCAGTGGCTAGTGAAAGTCTGGTGCATCACATCGTAGCATTATGGTACAGGCTTTGGTGACTTCAAGAAGTATTCAATATGGAGCACTCTCACCTCAGCGGCAGTGATGCAAATCCACTCTGGGTAGTGTGAAAACCTCCCAACTCTGCAGATTTTTCCAGTGATCTGAGTAAAAAAGAGTCATTGGTCTCAGCCACCCTCATGGGCATATGTCCTCAGCTGCTTGAATCAGTTACTTTGCTGGCAGTCTCAGCTGAGAAGCCAAATTATGTCAGAGAACATCAGAAATTAGGACTGAGACACAAAACTTTAGGTCTCAGTGGGAATCATATGTACCCAACTAAGATGGAGCAAATAACAGGGAGATAATCTCTTTTTTCTGGCATCACTCCCTGTCACTTTCCTTTGGCTAACAATCTACTTTAAGCAGCTCCTCCTGCCCTTGTAGGGAATTTAGAAGCAGAAATTTTGATGCTTCTCCTTCCTGTTGGTTGTGTCTTGCCTGCTTCCTGCTCAGTCTTTCTTTTCTCACTCATACTTTCTTCTGCCTCAAAGGCAGCTTAGGGATCCTCCTGTTCCTGAAGATCTTTCCTCTTTGTGTAAGTGGAATGAATACTCATAAATTAAAATTCCCTTCTTATTCTCTCTGTCTGTGCCTGTACCTATGCCTGGCTGAAACGGCTCTTTTTCTACAAAAAGGGACACATACAGCAAAGCCACGGAACCAAATGCAGCAACTACACTTAAACATCACTGGGCCAAGAAGCCTCTTAGAGACGGGGCTGGGTGCCAGGCCCCAGGAGCCATCCCTTGGGGTACTTGCATCAGAAAATTACGTGCTGCCTCCTGTCGGCACTCCAAAACCAGTCGCTGATGGTAGTAGCATATGTGTAAAAACAAGTAAGAACAAACTACTATTCTGGAGATTTAGGAGCAGCGGAGGCTGAAAGATAAGATAAGAACTGACATAGCGAACACTTGGTCCCCCATGTGTCTCTAAGAAGTTCACTGAGGAGTCTGACTAGGGTATTTTTTAGTCATGAGCTAACAAGTTATGCAAACCTTGTCTTTCTGTCCCATTACGTACACAGTCAGATGTTGGCTTACTCCGACTATGAGAACTATGCATACTTCAAAGAGTCAGGCCCTGAGATGAAGGCTGTGAACCACTTCGCTGCTGCTTATGCTGTATCTGCTTATGGTTAGGAAGGACTCCATTCAGCAGCTGTCACAAACCCTAAAAGCTGTTTTGGTCAGAAAAATCAAAGTTTCAGTGAAGAAGGATCCTGGAATGAAGGACTTTGGTGCTGGTAGGGAATGAATCAGCCCTCCTGCACAGAGGGAGGAAGGTAAAGCCTGTACTGCTGGGCTAGTTTATGTTTAGGGCAGGCTGTGTGGGAGTCGCTCTGGCAGAGCAGACTAGACTGCAAAATCACTTACAGAGGGCACTCACAACTGATGGGGTTTCTTCCCTTCAGTGAGAACACCCCCAAGCCACAGGAGCTGGAGGAGTTACTCTCAGCCGGGAGCAAGGCACAGCAGACCTTTTTTCCCCACACAAGCACACCTGAGACTCCTTTTCCTTTGCCATCTGTCAGAAGGAGGTGTCAGGGAGTGAAACACAGCTCATCTGCCCCTGCTGTTGTGAGGGGGTTTGTGTCGCCACCCCTCTGCTCCGTTCCTCGTCTCTCTCAAACACCCGGTGTGCTCTGTGGCTCTGCGCTTTTCTGAGCTGTGTGGGTAAAACCTTCTCTCTGTCGCGCACTTTGTGCTCATCTTGGACGTCGTTGCTGTCTGAAACGTTTCCTGTGGGCGTCACTGTGTGTCGGTCGCCGTGTTTGCGAGCATCTGGTGGGGGGCAGGAGGCCCGCGGCTAACGGCACCTACTGTTGTATTGCAGGCGCCAGGTTGAGTGGGAGCCTGCCAGCAATTTGATTGAAGGGGTTTGTTTGACACTTCAGAGGCAGCCAATCATATCCTTCCTGCCTCACCTTAGGTCTCTGATCAATGTGTGTGTCAATCTGGTGAGTAGCCAAGCGGCAACCCCGTGAACTTTCGCTAAATCTTCCCCTGCTACTGACTTCTCTGGACTGAAGATAACAGTTCATTCCCATTCCTGCCATTTTACCTGTCCTACTTGCCCCTCGCAGGGGGACTTCGCAAGTGACACTAGAGATAGCAAGGTTCATTTTTGAAGTGGTGCATGGGGAGATGCAGTGACCAGCAGCAGTGGTCAAGCGATTTGTTTCCGTTGCTTCCCACGCACCACTTTGAAGATCCACCTTTGCCAGACCGAGCTGAGAGTTGAGGGCTGCAAGTTGGAGAGTGGGGTGGTGGAGACTGCACACACCTGGTAGAGGCGGGGAGGGTGGCACTGGGGACACCTACAATCTCCAGTGGGGAAGGACCCTGGTGGCTCTGTCAGAGGCCAGCAGGTGTTGGCTAGTTAGAAGGGTTTTACACGGGTGGATTCACTCCACTGTTGGCAATGTCCCTGGCTTGATCTAGTACAGGTTTGCACTGTACAATGTTCAGATCCTACCTTTAGTAGAATTCATGCTTCTGAGTGTGTTACAACAGAGAGCTGAGACAGACGGAGCCTGTCTGGTCATTCAGTGATAGACTGTAGTGTTTCTGCAGCTGTTACACTGGGGCAAAGCCTCAACTAAATATCAGTGTAACACCAGTCATTTGGACAAACATACATGTGGAAGAAGTATAAATAAAAGGGGAAATGCTGCATTAGCATTTTTATTGTTATTGGATTTTATAACGTTTTCTTCTTAGAATGTCAATGTTGTCATTTTTTCCTAGCAGTAACAGGAAACCTCACAGAGTTCACCAGTGATCTAAGGAGCTTTAAAAACAATGAACATCAGTTAAAATGCAGTATAAATTTTTGCCAAGCTCTTGTCCTTTGTGTCCATACAGCACTCATAGCTGCGAGGGCAGGGAAGGTCAAACTGTCAGAGTCTATGAGACTCCCTTGTTCAAGCAGAGGTAGCTACTTGGGGGCACTGCGAATCCGGGCCCTCAGACTAATTAGGGATGCTACGTGGGGAGGTTGCTACGGAGTTAGCTCAAATGAAAATTTAGAATGGACTTGCAGTTTGGCAAGCAGGCATGGGGCAGAGTGAATCACACCAGGAAGCTCTCCAAAGGGCCTGCATTAAGAATTAGCCAGTGCTCTAAAAATAGCAGAAAGCTCCGCAGTGCTGAAATGCAGCCATCACTCATATATTCAGTTGGCTGGGAACATCAGGGAGAGCTACTGGGAAAAGATTTACTGTTAAGTGCATTTTACGTTTAGCTATCAGATCTACCGCCACTGTGGGAGCACCCCTGACTGCGTGCTGTACCATGTGTAGACTAGTTGTATCACCGAGCCCAAAAAGGCAGAAAAGGACCTGGGGTGTTGGTGGACAGCAGGGTGACCATGAGCCAGCACTGTGCCCTTGAGCCAAGAAGGCCAACGCCATCCTGGGGTGGATGAGAAGGGGTGGCTGTAGGGCAGAGAGGTTCTCCTGTCCCTCTACTCTGCCCTGGTCAGACCACATCTGGAATATTGTGTTCAGTTCTGGGCCCCTCAGTTCAAGAAGGACAGGAACTGCTTGAAAGAGTCCAGTGCAGAGCCACAAAGATGATGGAGGGAGTGGAGCATCTCCCTTGTGAGGAGCGGCTGAGGGAGCTGGGGCTCTTGAGCTTGGAGCAGAGGAGACTGAGGGGAGACCTCATTCATGGGTATCAATTTGTAAAGGGCAGTGTCAGGAGGAAGGAGCCAGGCTCTGCTCTGGGATGTCCAATGCCAGGACAAGGGGCAATGGGTGCAAGCTGGAGCACAGGAGGTTCAACCTGAACATGAGGAAAAGCTTTTTCACTGTGAGGGTGCCAGAGCATGGCCCAGGCTGCCCAGAGAGGTTGTGGAGTCTCCTTCTCTGCAGACATTCAAAACCCGCCTGGCCGTGTTCCTGTGTGACCTGCTCTGGTGATCCTGCTCTGGCAGGGGTTGGACTGGATGAGCTTTCAGGGTCCCTTCCAACTCCCAATATTCTGTGTGATTCTGTGAAAAGAGATCAGCCAGGAAGGTGGGGAAATGTCTAAATGATAATCCATGGTGATATAAAGAAAGGGCTCTGCCTCTTCCCCTTCTGAATTGTCCTTTGGATTTCTGGCAGAAAACCGATTACTGCCTTCCTCCCCAGGCTGAATTTGGCAAAAGAGAGTGCACTCACCTCCCCTAAGCTTACGTGTCTGTCGTGTAGCTTCTTCCTGTTCCCATCATCTAGACGTGTCTAGTCATAGAGAGAAACAGGCGTATGCAGGCCTGTGATTTAATTCCTTCCAAGGGACATATCCAAAATGGTTCAAATAACTCTGCCCTAGAAGTGCTATTTTCTTGTGCTGATATTTCAGGGAGCTCTGGACAACCAGGTCACATGCAGGTGACTCTGCTTCAGACACGTGGGGTCAGGTGAGATGACTCAGAATTCCTAAGAACAGACTCAGAGAAGCATCTGAACATTGTACAAAAGCTGGCTTGGGTCAGACTTAGGACATTATTTTTCCAGCAGATCAGCAAGAGAAGGGAAAAGATGTTCAGTTTCAATGCAGACTTTTTGCTTTGATGACATATTTTTATTTGTTACAGTCGTTACATGACATATCCTCCAACTCTAACTGTTCCACCAGTCCAGTGCTGGTCATTCAGGGCTGGTACTGGGTACATTTATAAATGTACCAGGTTACCTGTGCACTCTTCCCATCCTTGCTGGTTCCCTATTGTCTCCTCCCTTTCCCTGCTAGACTCCTCCTCACTGGCCTCAGCTCCCGCAAAGACCACTGGAGGGGGGCTGGTTCTGCCAGAGCCACCCCAACTCAGTGCTCAATGGAAGGCCCCTCCATTTCACTGATGCTGGAGGATATGGCATGGATGAAACTGCAAGTAGTCAGTTGTGGTGATGTGCTCTGTTTGTATTGCAGGTGATGGGAGTGGTAGGACCCTCCAGTGTGGCTGACGGATTACCCCTTCTTCATCTCAGCCCTTATCTCTCGCCACCTCTGCCCTTCAGCACAGCTGTTGTCCGGCTTGTAGCATTGCAGATACAGGTGTGTCTGGCCTGTGGCCTGGCCTGTTATAGCTTCTGGTTGAGACACCAACTCATTGGTGCTCTGTTTTATTTCTGCAAAAGCTGGGCAAAAACTGTGGAACGTACACCAAAAATGAAAGAGATGCAATATGTAAATTCTCCCTTCTTTTTGAAAGCTTGGACTGAGCTCATTATTCACCTGCTGGGGCCAAGTCCACAGCAAGCATCCATCAGCTTAACACTGCCATTGAAGTCCCGGGAGTTCGGCTGATTGATGCTGTTTAAGACTCTGCCAAGCATGTTAGAATTCCCTGCAGGATCTGAGGAGTTATCATAAGTCTCCTGCCAGGGGGAGATGGGCCCTGGCCAGGGTCACATCCACACAACCCTACCTCTTTCCCTGTGGGACCACGTGTGCAACTGAGAGTGGAGTTTGTGCTCTTCTGCTCTTACCTGAGCTGGTCACACAGTGTGCCAGCTCAGAACAGCAGGGCAACTTGGCTTTTCAGCTGCTGACTCAACAGCATCCTTGTTGTCCAGAATAAAAAAACCCATCCTGGACTTTTTGGAGAATTCATTGCTATTCCTTTGTCATATCAGTGGCCTAACTATTACAGAGCCTTTCTGCCTCTGTATCCCTTTCCCTCCCCATTGGCATGAAATCAGACAGAATGGTGACCAATGAACAGATAGACTTCCTAATCTAGCTCCAACTTGCATTTGTAAATACGCATTGGCACATCCAGTTGAATACTTCAGCAGATATTTCTGAGCAGTGGGGCGGCTTGGGAAGGAGGGCTTATAGGTACCAAAACACAGTGCTGCCCATCAGAGCATGAGGCACAAAAGAACTCTTTGGTGCAAACTGACACAGAAAAAAGACCGATTTCTTCTAGCTCTGAGGTAATTGCTCTTTAATCAGAAGCAAAAGGAAAACCAAACATGTCAGAAAAAGCCATCAGTAGTCACGTTCCTAATACTTCATCAGGATATGAAGCAGAAATACTTCACAGCCCATCAGAAAACATCTTCTCCTGGCATTTCTCAGCCCAGACCTGCAAGCTTGAGGGGTTGCAAGGTTTGGTTGCATTTCACAGCTGAGTCTGTGGCAACTGGGGAGTTACAAATGAGCAGACTTCTACTGACAGTCATTTGTGTTACCTCTAAAGATGGAAGTCGTTTTAATTTAGGCTTGACTATGCATCAAGAAGTAAATGTGCATTTTGTTTATTTTTCAGGAGTTCACTCTCTGCATTAGGGAGGGGGATAGGTCAGACACACAAAATAAGCGTTCGGGAATAACCTCCATGTTCAGACAGCAGAATATTTAGATCAAGTCATTTGTGCTATTTCCTCTGTTTGTTTTTGTATTCCCTGCAGTCTGGGTCAGATCCTGATGCCATTCACAGTGCAGAGCTTAGGACTCCTGCGGGGTACATCTGATTTTTGATATCTGTGAGTTAGGAATATGGGCTTCTTACCTCTTGGCTATGGCAAGAGCGGGTGACACCTGTGTTACTCTGTGAATTCTTTTTACTCCTGGCTTAAGTGGTCTCAGGGTTTCTAATTCAATCAGAGCATCGATGCCAGTGTTGTACTGTGTAAACAGGAAGCCCAGGGGTTCGCCATTCCCTGTAGTAACTTGTGTGCATGATCTGCTGATGAAATCATTTAATCCTTTCTCATTATTACTGCACAGGCTTTGAAAGAAGATTTCCCCCTAAGCCATGTCGTCTCCCCATTCACCAATCAGGAAAGAAGGGAAGGAATGCTTTTAAACCTACTGATTCCATTTGTGCTCACAGTAGGATCTGGAAGCAAAGGTCTGACTAATTTAACAAAAAGAATTTTTCTCCCCTTTTTCTGACAACCGATGTGTGCACTTTCCCTGCTCTCTGTCGTTGATTTTTTATTTGTATTTTTTAATTTGGTTTTCTGTCACTGGCAGTGTGTTAGCTAAGTGTCCTTTGGGTCCGAGACGGGAAAAAGCCCCATGGGGAGAATTTGTTGTTGCTGTTGTTTCTTCTCTTTGTTTCAGCTGTGCTGTGGTTCTTGAGTCAGGTCTTACACTGATGTGCTCCTTCTTTTGATACTGGAGTGCAGGGCAAGACAAATCTGTTGTAGCAGAAGCCACAGAGGGGAGCAGGGATCACAGACATTGTGTGCCCCTGTGGATCGGAGTCTGCCCAGTTCATGCCACTTGTCTGGCACAAGTCCTGCTCCTTGCTGTCTTCTATAGAGGGTGATCACTGGTGAATCCATAAATGAAAGCAAAGAATAAAGGGAGAGGGGAATGTCAAAAAGAAATGAGATCATGAGACCGCTGAATGGGACGTTTCTTCGTGCTGTAGCTCTGTGTTCGTGTGTGTTTGTGTTGGTGCTAAAATAAACTTTGCCTTTGCTTGCAGGAGCAGAAGCAGCATAACAAGGTGTGGGGGACGGAGTTTTGGTGTAGGGGACATTTGAGATTGCACCCCGTTTTGGAACTGAACAGGGTCTGGATCTTTTGGGTGTCTGTGATGGAATGTAGCCTGATCTTTCTCTCTCTCTCCCCTCCCAATGCATCTCAGACAGCCCCTGGCTGGAGCAGCCTGAGGTCCTGCTACTGCTCCAGACAGTTATCAATATCCTCCTGCCACCTCGCATCATCAGCACTTCCCGCAGCAAGAATTTTATGCTGGAGAGCTCCCCTGCCCATTGCTCCACCCCAGGGGACGCGGGGAAGGACCTGCGGCGGGAAGGGCTCGCAGAGTCCACCAGCCAGGCTGCCTACCTGGGTGAGTGATGGCTTCTGCTGAGCACTGAGAAGAGACACAGATAAAATGAAGCATTCAAGACTGTAGATAGCACCGTCGAATACCCTCTCAGGCAGGAGCTAATTGATAGAGCTGCTTTAGGTCTTGTCCTGAACAAGGGGGCCAGGTCAAGCATGAAGCCAGGACTATCTCTGGAATGTATTGCAACGGGAGCGGAGTCTGCCCTGCAACTGGAGAAGATTGCAGCACAGGTAGAAGTCACTCAGTTTTCATACTGCCAGGATATAGCAGTGAGGCTACAAAAGGCGAGTCAGGCTGCCTATCAACGCCTAACATCACAGCCTCGCTGGCCCTTGGCTAGCTGGGGTGAAATGTGATGCAGTCTGTCTGCCTGCACGCACAAAGTCCTTACTGACTGGTATTCCCTCTACTCACTGTGCGGTAGTAGTGTAATTTCTCACTTATGACCTACAGGCGAAAGGAAATAAAAAATTAATCAAATTGGAGATGCAGCAGCAGTGCAGATTATCAGGGCTATATGGGGAGAGTTTTGTCTCAAGGCCCTCCTTCAAACAGCTTCTCTGTTTCTGATTTTGTGATGGTATTTGCCTGAAGACTTCTATTCAGATCTTTGTTAACCTACATCGGAGGTATGGGGTAACACTGATGAAAAAAATGACAACTCACCACTGATTTAGCCTCCCACCTCCTATCCAGACAAACCTGGATGCAGATGTGTGATGGCTGAGATGTCTTGGCCATCAAGAAAGGTGGAGCAGTTAACGTTCCCCCAACAATTCCTAGGCCTCCCTATTTGTTCCAGACCAGGGGAGCATGGAAAGGGAGAGATTTCTTGTCTCTCTTGTGAGCTACTCCTGGTCACAGCCCACTTTAATACAGAGCATTGCTCTTGTGAATTATGGCTTACTGGACTTTTTTGTTAGATTACAGTTTGGCTGTGACTCCCGCAGCTGCAATGCTAGAAAGGTTCTTTTCATTACCCCATAAATAACCTGGAGGTTATTGTGCTCACAGGTGACTCTCTGTGTGGATATGCTTGATCAAGATTTTGAGACTGATCAGCCAGGGCTGTATATCCACCCCCTGAGCTGCTTTCAAAATATCTGAACTCCAGGAAGACGGAAGAACTCTGCAGGGAGGGAAGGGGGGAAGCTAGAGCAAGAAAATACAGAGGAACTTAGCTGTGAAGTAGGAAAATGTCTCTGGAAATGGGACTCAAAGTCCTGATCTTGAGGCCTCTATTGTAAGAAGGTTGCCCTCCTTCCCTGCAGCATTTGGAGGCTGCTAGAAGAGACAGCCGTGACTGAGGCGTGTGGGTGTGCATGTGCATGTGCATGCATGCATGCCTGTGTGGCTCTGTCCCCACTGTGGCCCCTCCATTCCTCCCTCAGTGCTTGCAATGGACACAATAACATCTCTGACTGCCATTTGCTGGTGTGTGTTCCTCTGTAGCCCTGAAGGTGATCCTTGTTTGCTTTGAACGCCAACTGGACAGCCAGTGGTACTGGCTAAGCCTGCAAGTCAAAGAGATGGCGCTGCGGAAGGTGGGAGGGCTGGCCCTGTGGGATTTCCTCGACTTTATCATACGAACACGGATCCCTATCTTTGTGCTCCTTCGGCCCTTCATCCAGTGCAAGGTAACAGTTGATTTGGCTCCTGCTAGACCACTCGCTGAGGGCAAGATAGCCTTTTTTCCCCTGCTGAGAACAGAGAAATGGCACTCCTGGAAGAACCTGGAGAGGTGTTTATGTGACTTTGCAGAAGTTAGTAGGCCTGGAAACACTTTGAAACTAGATCACAAGGGTTTTTCCTAGACAGAGTACAGAAGCTGTCACCCACATAGTCATGGAGTATAGCCAGCCTTAGCTCCCCTGGAAGGTAAAGTACTATCAGGCTCGACCGAGAGGTTTCCATGTGGACTTAGTTTTGCAACAAAGACACTCAAAGCACTTGGAAATAGTGTGGATGCTCTGAACCTAGGAGGGGGTTGGCATAATTTTTCCAGAAGTCTCTCTTCTGCATGGAGCTGGGCAGTACAGCTAACAGTCAGGAAGGACCACTCCACTTTACATTATTTGGGGAAGGTTCTGGCAAGGCTCTTGTGGATGGACACGGCTGCTAGGCTGAGGTGGCCAGGGCTTAAGCTAATCATGACTCTTCCCTGCTTACCAGGTAGACTACCACCTTATTCAGCCTACCATGTCTCACCACTTGGACAGATTAAGCCATGTTGGAGGAAGGAGCTGTCTCATGTCTGAGAGCAGAGCTTAGTGTAAGGAAGCCCTCATCCCCATGTAGCAATGTGAGTGAGGTTTTGATACCTGTTCAGTCAAATACAAGGTTGTCCCTGAAAGGCAGGTGGAAACCTCGCAGCTGGAGTCCAACCTTCATGACTACGAAGAGGCCAGTCTGCCGGCTGCAGGCTCATGCTGGTCTGGAGACCAGTCCCAGCCCCCTGGGCATCACTTCTCTGCAACTCTAACGTTTCCCAATCTTGCAGCTGCTGGCCCAGCCGGCGGAGAACCGCGAGGAGCTGACTGCCCGCCAGCACATCGCCGACCAGCTGGAGAGACGCTTCATACCGCGGCCGCTCTGCAAGAGCTCCCTCATTGCCGAATTCAACAACGAGCTGAAGATCCTGAAGGAGGCAGTGCACAGCGGGTCTGGTAAGGAAAGGACAGAGCTAAGGGCCGCCAGCCCAACCTGGCCAGCTGGCTCGCCTGTAAATTAACTTGTGAGGGAGACCTGCCCGCTGTGTAGGAGGGGGATGGGGTAGCCCACCCACCCCCCAGACAGTCTGCCCTTGCATCAGACCCTGTGCCCAGCCCTGCCTTGCCACTGGACAGGCAGCAGAAGTCCAGGTTACTTGTGAAATGCACCTTGCTCTGCCCATTTTTCCCAAGTCTGTGTCCTGTTTCCCAGCAGCCGCCTCTCACTGTCACAGCCGGCTTGTGCAGCCCCAACCAACCACTGCCTACATCTCTGTAGATCTGGAGTTGCTTGTGTAGAAACGTCTGTCTGTTGCTCTGCAGCAGAGCTGCCTCCTCCTTCCTCCTCTTGGTCTCCTTTTTAGTGTCTCTTCTGTTACCAGGGAGGTCCAGATCAGCACCCCCGGCTCTCGGTGCACTGAATGCTCTTGCATGAGGGGACGCTTTTTCCCGGTAACAGCCATCCTCGTCGCCACGAGATGGCGGCCCCTGCTTGCACACGGCAGGACATTTTATGTGCTTTGTTCTTTAGGAAAACAAATTCAACAGAAAACGCCTCAGCCTTTTTTTTTTCCCTCGCTAATAATTTGCCTTGCTCCAAAACGTTGAAGCTGATCTGGAAAATGTGACACTAAGACTGAGGGGGAAAACCAGGCTGCATAAGAAAACCAGAGATTTTGGAGAGATGAGGTGAACCAGGGCAGATGTGTCTGGTTTGTCACCGCTGCCAAGCCCTGACCCCTGACTGGGCACAATCGGGTGTCCGACGTGACAGGGATGATTGGCTGGTTGTTGATTTCCAGCACCATCACTGACTTGGCCTTGGCTTTCTCATTCTTGCGCAGCTTACCAAGGGAAGACGTCTGTCAGCACCGTGGGCACCTCCACCTCCGCTTACCGCCTGAGCCTGGCCACCATGTCCCGCTCCAATACCGGCACTGGCACAGTCTGGGAGCAGGACAGCGAGCCTTCCCAACAGGCCTCGCAGGACACGCTGAGCCGCACAGATGAGGAAGATGAAGAAAGTACGTGGCAACTGCTTCCAGCTAAGCCCACAGCATTGAAGATGTTTTTTTCATGCCCCAGAGGACGGCTGGGAGGGGAAGACAATTGTCCCTGTCCTCATGTGAACAAAAGGCCCATAGGGGCACAAGGCTAAGAAACCAGTGGGGTTGCTGCACAGTTCATGGTGTTAAAGCTGGGTCGTTACATACGTCCTCATTTCCTCCTGAGCACTGGCTAGGGAAAAGGGAAGGGTACAGGCAGATTTTTAGTGCGTGAGACCTGGGCTGATGTGCAGTTCACGCAGCGCTCACAACGCATTTGGCAATCAGTCCTTTCTTTGACCTCCATAATGACAGAAGGCAGGGGCTGTGGCTGGCTCTGTAGTTAGGATCCTGTTCCTGTAGGATCTTAGTACTTCCTGCTCGCTGCTTCTGTCCAGATGCTCTGATGTGGGATATGTTGTCCTTGTGCTGTGTGGGATCCAGCTGTGGCTCTAGATTAACAAATAGGAAATTAAGCCTTAAACCTACTGACAACAAAAGCTTGATCTTCCTTTTGGGCAGCTGGCAGGTTCTGGAGTTGCCAGGCTTTCTGGTGTCAGTTTAGAAGGAATGGGATGGAGAATCTTTTGGAGACTAATTTGCAAGGGCCTGAATGTTGCTTTGTCATTTCAGCTGAGTTTCGTGTTATTCTTGGAATTTTGCCTTCTCTCTGCTTCTGAGTTGTCCATCACTGAAAACCAGGGTAGAAAACTCTGCCCATGTGTCATCAGGCTTGGGCTTCCCCCTGCTTTAGCAGGGATATTGTCTTCTGGTACTGCAACAGTTGGCAGCCTCAATGCCTGAAACTCAGGTGCTTTGCTCTGTATTTGAGGACTGCTGGCTATTCCCAGAAGACATTAAACAAAAGGGGTGAAAAACAGGCTTAAAAGATGGGCCCATGCAGTTCTGGAAGAATTGCCTTTTGGGAAAGAACAGTTAGCCTGAAACAGTCCAGGCTCAGCCCAACTTTATTTTAGTTGTTCTCATCACTAAACATTGCACAACCGACCCAGTACTGTGCTGCTGATGCACTGCTCAGATACTCACTGAGGCAAACTCTGGTTTCAGTCTCGGATTAACGATGAAGCAGTGTGTGGAATGATGAGTGCCATCTTCCTGTTTGCTTGCAGCAGTATCCCTTCAGCCCTGCCTTGGCTTCATGCTGCCGTAAAACATTTCAGTATATCAGAATTGGAAAAGGTCAGAGAGGAAAAAAAATACACAAAACTTCCCCTTAGTTTTACTTGTTTATTTGTAATTAGAAGTTGTTGTGGTACAAACAACAACAGAGTCATTTGTTTCCAGGTACTTTATATCATTTTAAACACCACTGAAAAGTTCAAGCAGTCCTGCTCACAGTCCAGCTGTCTGCATAATTCAGTTGCAGTATGATATACTTGAGTCAACTTATCCAGTTCTTGGGTGACATTTTAAAATGCATGTCCCAAAGGTTGTTCAAGGGTGTCAGTTCTGCATTTTGCTGTTACGTATTTTATCTTCCGTAACAGTGCTTTGCTGTCATAGCAGCAGTGTCTCTCACACCAGCAAAATGTCTGGTTACAACCTTTCTGCCAGAAAACACTGTATATTAACAAGCAATTTATTAATCACAGGAATTAGTCCCTAGTGGAAGCTGAATTCCCCAAACAAATTTTCCTGACAGCCATATGAGCTGAAATGATGCATAAATCCCTGCCCCATGTGTTCTGGGTTCTTTATCCTGTCGGATTTTGTGCATATGTCTTTCTGAACTGGGAATGTAACAATCTAATGGAAGTATTCAAATTTGCAGGCTTGGGGTCTTGGTAAGTAAATGCTTTGGCATCCCGTTACTCTCAACACCTCTAAATACGTAGATGGGCTTTGGGGTGGTTGTTTCCTCTCCTTTCCTGTGTTTCCTTTCTTCCTAGATGACTCCTTGAGCATGCCCAGTGTGGTAAGTGAACAAGAAGCATACCTTATGGGTGCCATTGGGAGGAGGCGGTTCTCCAGCCATCTCTCCAGCGTGTCTGCACCTCAGGCTGAGGTTGGCATGTTACCCAGCCAAAGGTAACAACATGGGCTTTTCATCTTTCCCGTTACATTCATGAGAACAGAAATGGTGCAGGTATATTAGAGATGTGGGATAGTCGAATCAGTGCCAGCATAGTGACCCTAAATTGATTCATCCTGAAATAGTGTTGGGCCAAGGGTGTGAGGTTAGAAATGGTTTTCCAGGATGATCTGTGTTGTGTAAGATCCAGAAGAACAAGCTGTCATCCATAGAAACCTTCCTCTTAAACAGAGACCCTCAGCACTGTCATTTTCCTCTTTTACTACTGTGGATAGCAAAAGGAAAACACCCCAAAAGGATTTTGGGGTTATGCACTGAACCAAGGGGTTCTACACGATCTGTGCAGGGAGTGGGGAGGACTCCTGAGTAGCTGGGAAGAGGGGGAGACGCATTCAGTTTGATTTACTTTGCTTTTTTCCATGCAGTCTTGGTCCTTTTTAGAACAGTAATTAGCCCATCACAGAGACTGAATGTCGTGTTCAAAGATGGGACTTCCTACTGTTTAAAACAAGAAATATACCTGCTGAAAGTTATAGAAATAACTTTGAATGCCTTATTCCCAGTTAACACAGAGCAGTGAGAAAGAGGTTGGAATTTGGGAAATGTCCATCTTTAGAAGATGTCGAGAAAAGTTTTGCATTTAAACGTGTTTGGTTTTTTTCTTGGTAAGAAATGTTTATTGTTTTATTTGTCTGCGACATCGTTATCCAAGGATATCTGACAATGGACAGATTAATTTATGTTATTCCCTTTGAACCTTTAAAGGATAAATTCTGCATTATCTCTTGACCAGCCTTGTAAAATCAAACAACATTGTTCCCTTCCCAGTCTTGCTTGGAATTAAAGAAATAACCTTGATATACGAAGGAAAAGTAACAGCTGTGGCACACACCAGCAGAGACAGGAGAGTGATTTACAAGAGAGAAGTTACACAGATTTTATCTGGGAGTTTTCACAAAAGGGCTTACAGGAACTCGTTTGACTTTTGAACTCAGTTGATTCAGTCCCTTTGTTTCTTGAAAAATTACTATGCAAGGCTGCATTTCCCCCAATCTTTCACTACCATCTTCAATGCATAAACTTCATAGGAGTCACACTTGACTGATAGCAATGTTTGCTTTGTGCAATCCCAAGTCATGGTGATACTGAGAAAAAAAAGACTCCGATTACAACAGAGCTTTGCTCTCTAGTTTTTTAAGTACGTGGTATACCAAGAGAATCCCTTTTCATCTGTGTAGGGA